CCCTCAACAGTGCCAGAAGTCCAAGCAGAAGTAAACCCCAGGCATGGACCAGAGGCCAAACTCCCTTCAGAACAGAGAACACGAAGCCCACTTCCCTCTCTCAGCCAGTTAGCTGTCAGCAACACTCAACCCCGGCTTCTGGAAGCAGCCACACTTTTGGAAAAGGCAGCACCAAGATGGCAGCTTCCTGGATCAACATTTCTTATGAATTAGCAGCTGGAATTTCCATTTAGCAAAGGATCCGGTTCTAAACCGTCTAATCTTCCTTGCAGACTTGTATACTTCGCCCTTTTGGCTGCCTGGAACCTTAAGCAGCATGCCTGACCAACCTTTGCTGGCACACTTCGTCTCTGCTCCAGTTTTTCAAACAATTAAACACAATTCTGCGGCCATGAATGTGTCGGTTTGATTATTTCGTCGTCTTACAGTCGTTAACTCCTGCAGAATTTGTATCCTGCTGCCTAAATAAGAGCCCTTGGAGAGCTGGGCATGTGGGTGCAGGTTGAGCAGAATGCATGGGAAGATGCACTTCTGAGCTGAAGGACATTTTCCATGGTCCTGCGAGGGTGAGGAGGAGAGATGGGCACTTCAGCTGCATGGAGACACATCCCCCCATACTTGCAAAATGAGAATAGCCTTTGGACACAGGGGAGCAGATGCCGGTCTTGAAAATGGAGGCACAGAAAGAGTAAAGGAAACCCAGCCAGGAGCTAAATAGTAGAGCAGAGGCATATAAGTGGAAATTCAGAGAATATTCTAAGGACATGTGGGTCAAAATAAATTGATGACCGGGCCTCAAAAACTCTCCCAGTGGTAAAAGAAAAGACGAGATTTTGTTCAAGCTAACAAAATGTGTAAGTAGGAGACAGTCTGTGTAAAAATCATACATCCATCACATACACATATCCACTGTCAATATTTTTCTTGTTTTTTTTTTTTTTTTTTTTCTGTACGCGGGCCTCTCACTGTCGTGGCCTTTCCTGTTGTGGAGCACAGGCTCTGGACGCGCTGGCTCAGCGGCCATGGCTC